TACTCTCTGGATTCTGGGTGGAAGCCCCTTGGCCTGGGACAGCAACTCTGCTCCCTAGGCTTTAGGCAGCCCCATTCTCCTAGTCCATCTTAGTGGCTTCACCACCCCCTTGGCCCTTGTATGCCCCATTCTTCTGCCCGTTGGGCATGACAGCCCCACCCCCTCAGCTTTGGACAGTGGATCCAGGCCTGTCTTGATGGCATTGGTGAAAAGCAGCCCCACACTCAGGAACTGAGTTGGTGAAGATCTGACTCTTTGAAACCTAGGAGACTGTGGCCCCAGCCTTTGAGATCCCAGAGGTTGTGGCCCTACCTTTTGAGACTGAAGCAGCTCTGCTTCCTGTTTTCCTTGTGTCTTCAGCTTCTACTTCCTGGTTCCTTGGCCTCTCATCCCCTCAGACCCTTGGACCAGCCCAGCCTTTACCCTGCTTGGACAAGTGTTGCAAAGCTCTTTAGCTCTACAGATAAGTGCTTGAAGGCACCCTACTCTGCCAGTAAACCTTGGCTGGAAGGCAGTCAGCTCTCTTGCTCTGTGTGTCAGCAAGCCTAGCTCCACCAATAAGTGCCTAGGGGCACCACACTCCACCAGGAAACCTCCTGCCTGCAGGCACTGAGCTCTCTTGCTCTGTGGCTGTGCTCCCGGGCTGTCTCGTGCCAGTCTTCCGGTTCTGCTGCTGCCGTTTCTCTGCTGCAGCTTCTCACTGTCTGTGCCGTCTCCAGTGTTATAGCTCTCTTCACTTCCCTCTGAGCTCTCACCAGGATTCTATTTGATGTCCCTAATTCCAGCAACAGTTTCTTCAAGGTGATCTAGACTTTTACTATTAGACACCTTAAAACTCTTCCAGCCTCTACCCATTACTCAATTCCAAAGCCACTTCCACGTTGTAGGTATGTATTAGAGCAGCACCCCACTCCTGACACCAAAATCTGTCCTGGTTATTTAGTGCTGCTATTAGAGAAGTACCACAAGTGGATGGCTTTAACAGACAGAATTTCTTCTCTCACAGTTTAACAGGCTAGAAGTCCAAATTCATGGTGCCACCTCCAGGGGAAGGCTTTCTCTTTCTGTCAGCTCTGGGGGAAGGTTCTTGTCATTAATCTTGCCCTGGTTTAGAAGCTTCTTAGCGCAGGGACCCCGAGTCCAAAGGACATCCTCTGCTCCTGGCTCTTCTTACTTAGTTGTAATGAGGTCCCTCTCTTCTCTGCTTGCTTCTGTCTTTTATATCTCAAAAGAGACCGACTCAAGATACAGCCAAATTGTGTAGATTGTGTCCTGCTTCATTACCATAACTGCCTCTAATCCTGCCTCATTAACATCATAGAGGTTAAGATTTGCAACACATAGGATAATTATATCAGATCACAAAATGGAGGACAAGCACACAGTACTGGGAATCATGGCCTAGCCAAGTTGACACATATATTTGGGAAACACAATTTAATTGACAGTCACCCATGGTGTCCAGGTTTCAGCAAAGTTTCTAGACTAAGATAGACTTAGGAAGAAAGGCCTGGTTATATACTTCTGAAAATCAGCCAGTGAAAACC